TCCAGTCGGACCAGCTTTCCACAAGGCAAGTGTCTCCGTCGTCTGCTGACTATGGGCATCGCCACAGCAGTCTCTTTTTTTTTTTTTTTTTTTTTTACAAAAAGCTCCGATCTATTGGTGGGGAGCAGCATCTGCTAAAAAACGGGTCCAGCGTCCCTTGTGTATATCTTTGAATGAACATAGTATCAACAAGTATCAATCCAAAACCCTCATATCCAAACTCATATCCAAGTAAAAAGCTGATCTAGTCTTAGAAATCCAGATGCCTCTTCAGTCATACAAAATGACCGCCAGAAAAGAGTGATTAACCTAGCATCCATCTCCATAAACTCTTACCTATCTAATTGAACCACCTATCCTTCCTCTTCCCCCCCAAACCATCTTAGATCCACTAGAGCCACTGCAGAGGGAGGAAAAGGGTCCGAGAAAAACTCAGGTGATCTCGAAATGTGCAAAATGAGAATGACCTTCCGACTAGAACATGGCCAGATGCACCCCCCACATTTTTGTCTTTTTCACATTTCGAGAGTGGTATGGCGGGGGCCTATCATGTAGGTGAATTACCACAGATTCTACTACCGCAAAGGGCATCGCCACACCACTCTTGAAATGTGCAAAATGAGAATGAACTTGCCGCTAGAACACGACCAGATGTACCCTCCACATTTTTGTCTTTTTCACATTTGGAGAGTGGTGTGGCGAGGCCCTAATCCTGTTCGCAGCCAGAAGGCTGCGCCTTGTGTGGTTTGCATTTCATCGTTTCGTGTCCTTTCCATTTTCGGTAATGTCGTGCAGGACAGCGTTGCTAGGATGGGTCCGTTTGGGGTTTCCGAAAGCAGAAAAAGGGTCCGGTCGCAGTCGTCCCTAAGACCGGTCATAGGGCAGGTTAGCTTGTCCAGGTCGTTCGAAAATGAGCATAAGGCGCCGTCCACAGTTTCCCTTTTGAGGGGTGGCGTTTTTTCCCGTTTCAAAATAGGGGCGGACGGTTTGGGCCTGGGGCCTTTCTGCTTTTGCTTTTTTTTTCAGTTTGAACTGCATCTCCCGAGAAATATGGGAAGCATTCATCTGTTTACTGCTATGACGTGTCGAAAAACGAGAAGGGAGTGCCCTGCTTTGTTGGCAGGGCTTACTAAAAAAAAAGGCAAAAAAAGAGCTATCGAGATCTAGGGCCTCGTACTCACCCGATGTGCAAAATGAGAATGAATAGTCCTGTAGAACATGGGTAGATACATGTCAAGTAGTTCAGAGGTTGAAATGGTATTTTGCCTTCGTTTTTTTTGTTTTTTTTTTCGGAAGAAGAATGTCTTCTGGAAAGATACACGGCCATGATTTGTGTCTTTTGGGCATGTCGGGAGTAGTGGGAGGACGCCCTATTGCTTTGTCAGCCCCTTCTTTTCAAGGCATTCTCACGCAGCCCTGTCCACAATCCCCTTCCTTTCAAGGCATTCTCAGGAAGCATGAGGTGGTACGACAAGGCCTCAGTAGCTTGGCCTGTCGCATAGGTGTTGACGCCCGTCTGTCGCTCAGAAAAAAGTGTCGTCGCGCCTGTAGCCGATAGGCGCCACGACGGGCTCGGTGCCTACGTATGTCGAAAAGGTGTCGCAGGGGGAGGTGGTCAGTCGCGCGCCCACGTGTTTGGGCCACAGGATATTCATTCGTGCGACCCTGGATAGCGGGCGCTTGGCTCCCGAAGAAAAGGGTGAAGGATCGACACCCGGCCCGTGCATCCTTCATCAACTCAGCACTCTTGATCGATGAATCGGGAAATCAACGTAGTGACCGTAGTAGAGCAGGGAAAAAAAAAAGGGCTCAAAAAAAAAAAAAAAAAAAAAAAGCGGGAAAAGGAGACAAAAGAAGAAGAGCCCTCCTGATGGACGATGTCTAGAGAAAGGGGTCGAAGGCGGGAATAAGGGGCCCTCATCATTGTCATTGAAATTGCCAAGAGAGTTGTATTGTCAGAACGGCGATTGGCGGGAAGAGGAAATCGTGATAGAACCAAAACAAAATCTCCTCGCCGCCGTGGTAGCGGCAGCCAATGGATGTCCTGACAGGAGAGGCCACCTACCCTACCCATCCCAACGTTAATACTCCCAGCGCACCCCCTGTCACTACTATCCTACCTCAATGTGACCAGCACTCAGGACCATCGCCCTACCAGTATAGAGGGCAACTTGGAGCAGACAGCAGTGACAAGCACCAAGGCTGGGCCAACGTCCCAGCCCTCATGGAAGTGGAAGCGGATAAACCTTGCCGTATGGGAACTTCGGACGCCAGGCTCATGCAATCTTCTGCAGGCCCAATTCAGAGAGTCTACCCAGCAGGATTACCTAAGCAAGGCAGGCCAGCGCCCGCGGACACATCCTACTGTCCTTCCCCTAGCTTACCCAAGGCTAGGCGGAACTCAGACTAGCCGGAGCGACTTATATCCCTACTCCTACCCTAGAGCTAAGCCATGCATGAGCAGACCCCGTCATATACCTGATATACCCCCCCTGCCCAGTATCGTAGTTGTGTGTATGTGTGTATGGCCAGAGGCTATGTATGTTTGTATGAGCCCATAGGGCCATGTGTTTGTGTATTTGCCCAAAGGGTATGTGTGCTCTGTCTAACTGTATAGCGAGATGTATGTGCCCGAAGGCCAGATATGTGCAGTACTATGTAGAGGGAACTCTGTGTTCATTTGAAGAGATGACAGGCCAAGCTAGACAAGAACCCCCCCCAAACTCCCAAGCCAGACTCGACCCCGTGACTGGGGAGATCTTCAGAACAACCACGAGCAACAGCCACAAGCAACCCACGCAGTATCAAGACCCCACATACAACACCATGGACAACCCTTGGGTGGTGCACAGGCAGTGTCTGCAAACAAAGAAATACACCGGGCGGGAGAGAGAGAGAGAGAGAGAGAGACGGTGCGTTACCACGTTGAACGGGCCGAGAGAGAAAGAGTGAGAGAGAGAGAGCCGGTGCGTTGCCACGTCGAACGGGCTCTCTCTCTCTCTCTCTCTCTCTCTCTCTCTCTCCCTGCTTTCCCGTTGTCCCCTTTCGTTTTATTTTTTTCAACATTCGATTTATTTTTATTTTGGGGAAACTACACGGGAGTCAGAAAAACGAGTTATAATTGCAGTATGGGCCAAGATACAGTTTGCAATTGCAGTTGGGGCAATGTATACAACCCAGCTTTCTGGCCAGGTAGGGTGCCCAAAGTGCAATTGCAAACTGTATCTTGCCCCATATTGCAATAATGCAATTATAACTCGTTTTTGTGACTGTACTGAACTTACCCCTTTTCGTTTTCATTACCGGTCGTTGGTTCCCCGACCCCCGTCCAATGCAGCGCGTTAAAGGCCGCGTGGTGGTATTAACATGCTATTGCAATTTGCAACCCGATATGAGGAATGCAGTTCTAAGCATGAAGAATGCAGTTGTAGGTATCACAGGGGCAGTGTCTAATCGCCTGGCCAGCCCCCTGGCCCCCTGGCCAAGGTCTAACATATCCAACGTCAGGGCCACCACAACTTCTGGCCCTAGCACTGCCAAGCTTACTGTCTGGAACATGACACATGCTGCCCGAATGGCTGCGTCCCCGCGTGGAACGCGGTATAACAGTTGAGACACAGTGAAAAGGGAAGAGGGGTCGTCCTACAATTAGGGCCTCGCTGCAGTACAGTAACTCTCGACATGTATAAACGACAAAAATCATGGCGATGCATCTTTCCACGTTGTAGCGGAAGATTCGTTCTCATTTTGCACACATTCGGACAAGTGCATCTTTCCACGTTGTCGAGGAAGATTCATTCTCATTTTGCACATGCACACATTCCGACAAGGAAG